TTTGGCAGCTTGCTAGTATAAAAGACAATCTGTGTTGTTCAATTAACGTTCCCTTTTTTTTTTTTTTTTGTCTAGAGCCTGCAGCCGAATTCCCCACTTCACCTGAGCCTCAGACAGAGCCCTGCTTGTTAGAGATGGAAGATAAACGAGAGGATGACCTGTTTGAAGCAYATCTGCACCAACAAAGAACTAAATCCAAAGTATCACAAAAAGTAATGAAGCTGGAGAAGAAACCACAGATTTTTAGACCTCCAGACTAACATGGATCAAACCCCAACCTGAACAAACAGCATCACACCTTCCTTCAAATACATGTWTTGTCTTATGACTGTGGTATTCTCATCATTCTTATCCAATGTGTTACTAAAAGAACCCAGCTATCCCATCTTTATGATTCAAGAGTGTCAGGTTTGAATCTGAAACTCAGCTGCTGATTAAACACAGATTTCTGCTCACCTTTTCCCATCAGTTCAACACTTCTCAAGCAGCTGTGACTCACGCTGGAAGCATGTTGAACGTACGGCAAGATGCAAACCAATAAAACAAGATTGTCTGCTGTGGCCATGTGTACAAGAGAAATAAATTTAACCTCACAATATATGCTTATGAAWAATGTTGCCTAATTTAACATTTAATCTTATAGGTTTTAGCTACTGTTTGTTTTTATCTATTTATTTAAAAGTTTTTTCTTCCAAAACATAATCTCGGTTCTTTTTTTTTTCTTTTGCTGATGTTTGTACGTGTCTTATAATATCCAAACAAGAGCTGAAAGGGATTATCTGAAGAAATGTCGTTAATCTGAACCGTACTGAGATTAAAGATACTCAYTGCAGTGCAAACTATAAAATAATAAAAACAAGGTTCTCTTGAACTAAACACTGCAATTTGAAAAAGTTTACTCTAGTAGTTTTCCAGATATCTGAATTGTAAGTCAATGTGAACATTTCATCTGCATACTTTCTGTGGTAAATCTGAGCATAAAACATACAAGTACATGGAGGTGTAGAAAATACCACGTCTTCTGGTTGAAGTGGAAATGCTGTTGCTCAATGAAGAAAGGACTCTGAAAAAACAGGCTGGTTGAACAGCAAGAACCTTTATTTTTGCAGTTCAGGAGATTACAGCCAAAAAAACAAATTGTGGCCTCCAAATGCCAAATGATTCACCAAGTAAGAAGATGATGACGAAGGCAAAGAGCGGGGGCAGACAAGGCTCTTTATAGGTTTTCACAAATGTACCATAAAGCTTGTCACGGTATACCTTAAGCGTTCTTCTTTCCTAATATGGTAACATGTGCCGAGCTCTAAAGCTAGAGAAACATAACATATCTGTGCATTCCTAAGAAAAGGCCCCCCACTCTTTGGACACTACAACATAAAAATGATCAGGTTTTTTTGATTCCAAATGGCTCCACCAAAGACGTCAACCTAATCCCAGTCCCTTTGATGGCCGTTCCACAAGTAAACTAACAGTAGCTGGGAGACATTCATAAATTTAGCTTCCAAGTTTTTATTTTAAAGATAAGATCAATTGTTAATGTTGTTTCTTACTTCATGGTTTTTTTGGGACTGATCTCAATGACTTTGCAATGAAAGCAAACATTAACTGATAAAAACATGTTTCTGTTATAGTTCCTGTTCTAACAACAGCTCCACAGGTCGTTTCAAACTTATTTTGAACATTTTACTGAGTTGGAAATCTGCTGTTTAAAGAGATTCTTATTCACAAGTTTCACAACCAGTGATTTCACATCAAACTTACTCTCCTGTGACCTTAGTGCAGTGCTGACAAAATCATCTGAATTTAAAATAATTCAATAAAATTCCAGGCTGTGATAATGTGGTCTTCTACTTGATTAATTGTGTAACATTTACGTTTAGACTGTGAAAACTTTTCTGTTGATGTGGTAAAAAAATTGTTTTGCAGTGCTTAGGCCAGGAGAAGAATAATTAAGGTTTTTGATTTTGTTCCTGGAAAAAAACTGTTGAGTGCAAGTTGTTCCTTACCAGTTTGGACTTTAGGTAGAGTGAGCAGAGGAGACCTCGCACCATTATTGTGTGGAAGTGCACTGTGTGGTGTGTGTGTGCGTGTGTGTGTGTTTGACCCAATAATTTTCTTGTATATTTACAGTAGATGAGCGAGGTGAGAGCAGGAAATGAGATCTGATGATGTATGAAGAAGGGATAAACGTAGCTAAGAGAAACTGTAAGGACTTGAGTTAAAGATACGACTGTTCAGATCATTTACTTTGCTCCAATAAAAACCTTGCTGTCAAATCGAAGTTGCATCTTCTGTATTTTGCTTAATGATGATGATTTTTTATGAAGAATATTTGATGGAACAGGTGCAATATTGATAATCACCAACAGTGAATTTACAGGAGTGTTTCACCTTTTTCTGATTTAGTGATAGGTCTACTCATAACCAAAAAGGACAGAGAATCATGCAGAAAATGACAAAAAAATTGTCACTGTAAGTCCAAAAGTTGACACCATAAATCAGATTATATAGGCTTGTTCTGTATATAAAGATATTCATCACTTCCTTGTCATTACTCTTCTTCAGGGATAGAGCTTGGTGATGTTTCAAACTGTTAAGCACTGCCAACAACTGTTCAGGAGGATTATTACACCCCTAAAGGTTGTTTCACTGTGGAAGGGGGTGTGTACAGCAGGGTGGCCAATGGGGTGGCCAAAGATTTGTCTGTGGTGGCCATGGCCACCCCCTGGCTCCGCCCCTGGCTGTGGGATTCTGAAAAGGAGGAATGTCGATAGTAATAAACCAAAGTCCTGGGTCAGGACCATGACAGAGCTGTTCTGGAGTCAACAGTTCAGGGGACTCATCTCTGGGGACTTGCTGATGCTGAAATGTTCAGATATTGATAAAAATCAATACTTAGCTGGTGGTATACCCTACATTTCCCCCACTTGGAATGCATGACCTGTCCAAAGGTTGATGGGTTCCCCACCAACATGGGCCTACATGAAGAAGGCATCAACAGTCAGTGATGGACTCCCAAACACGTGTCAAGGAGTAATTCCAGAAGCGATCTTCCAAAAACAAAGTCAGTAATCCAACAAACAGGTCAAGGTTGGTTCCATATGAAACCAGAGGGGTCGTCTGGAAGGCACGCTGAAGTTGACCTCTGGAGTGATGATGCTGTGGATCACTGGATGATATGGTGGCCCTGAAGTGCAAACCACAACAACTAATCACTAAACACAACTACATTGCAAAAAACACATTTCAGAAAACACAACATTTAACAAAACACATTTCAAAAAACACAACATTTCACAAAACACAGCATTTTTAAAAAAATGCAAAATTTCACAAAACACAACATTTCAGAAAACCGGAAGAGGTAGGTAGGTTCACCRGCGGCCCTCTTGCCACAGTTAGCTACACAATGCTAACTGTATAAAGTGAGTGATTTATACTACTACAGAACATGCTTAATTTGCTGATATTTTGATAGATTTACAAACGAGTTGGTTTATTATAAACTTTATTAACGTGGCTATGATGTGGGGTAATTAGACATGTTGAGATTGGTGTTTTTACTTAAAAAATAATGAGTTAACCAATAACGTTATATTTTACTGTTTGTATATAGTATGTTGTGCTATTTTAACTGATTATTATTTCATTTTTAGAGTTATTTATTTTAAAAAAAGCCCAACTAGGGACAAGTGCTGCGAATTAGCTGTTGCTATTGCACCATGATGCAAACATGGGACTGCTGTTTTATTCAGTTTGTCTATGTCGATGTGTGTCTGTCCCTATTAAATAAACTTTGAAGAAGAAGAAGAGTTGTGCCTTGTGGTATAGTTGTGTGTTACAGAGCTACTTTTAGAAATTATCTAAGGGTGATTTACAGTTTGAATTTTTATAAGCTAGGCTTTCCTGAGACCAAAAATGATTTAATAATAAACTATTCTTTTGTCTATATGACAAGCTTCATAACAAGAGCCTGTGAGACCCGTTTACCCAGCAATTTTACATCATGAGCTCTTTCTTTTCAACTGAACTGAAGCTGCATGTGATTTCCAAACTTAAATACCATTTATGTCAATAACCATGTTGGTCCTGTCATGTCAACAAACCTCCTAATTCCAGTCTGTCTTGTGTGAGTCTTTCCAGGTTGAATTCCAAGCAGGCTGGTTTGTTAAAAATTCATTGCTGCTTTGTGTTTACAGAAGTACACCTCCATAACATGCTTGACTTTTGTGCAGCCTGCAGATGCTCTAACAGCCGTAGTGTCAAAACAAGAACCTGTGGGGTTACCTTTCATCTGTAAATTCTGTGACAATATTATGACTGTAATTAGAATATTCAGTATTGTGGATCTATGCATGTGTGCATGTGTTTTTGAAGTGTTCTTGCTCTTGTGCAACATTAGCTGACTGCTCTGTACTACAATCAACAGTGGTATTTTGTAGCCAGTTTTAATAAATTATACGTGTCAAATAGCTAGTTTTAACTGCATCTACCTTGTGGGGGTGACAGGTCGTAAATGGGCCTATTTCCTTCTGTCTAACCCAGCTTTTAAAAAGTCCAGTTCAGTTTAGATTTTGAAAGTTGATAATTTTATAAATTTGATTGATTGATTGATTGGTTGGTTGGTTGGTTGGTTGGTTGATTGGTTGGTTGATTGGTTGGTTGATTGATTGGTTGATTGCTTGGTTGATTGATTGATTGATTGATTGATTGATTGATTGATTGATTGATTGATTGATTGATTGATTGATTGATTGATTGATTGATTGATGCCTTCATTGTCATTGTACAGAGCACAATCAAATTACATTTAAGAACACCCATTCAAGAGACACACATGACAAAAAAAACATGGGGGAACAGGTGAACAGGTCATGTGGCAACCAGCAGGGGTGGCGCTATCTTTAAAAAGWAAAAACTAAATACCACACAAGGATAGATAAGGGGAAAAAAACTCATCTTATTCTATCAACAACGTAAACAGGAGAAATTAAATCCACAGCCCTTCAAAGCCACGTAGCGGGGGAGAGTCAAATTCATAATCAGTTGTTTGGGAACAGAATGCATACAAACAAAAAAGCAGCCATGTGTAAATTTATAGATGAGATTTAAAAACGTTGGTTACGTATTGTAACCCCAGATTCTATGAGTGTAAGCGCAGCCCTCTAAGGCTATCGCAGATGGGTACCCCCGCACACGCTCGCGCATTCTGAAGTATCAATAGTCTACGCCCACGTGACGTGGGCCTCACCTCGGTCCGTATAAAAGGGGAGGAC